TCCATTATAAAGACACACGCATACGTATGTTCACTGCAGCACTATTCACAATAGCAAAGACACGGAAGCAACCTAAATGCCCATCAATGATAGACGGGATAAAGAAAATGTGGTACATGTACACCATGGAATACTATTCAGCCATAAAAAACAATGAGATCGTGTCATTTGCAGGAGCGAGCTGGAGGCCGTTATCCTTAGCAAAGTTATACAGGAACAGACAACCAAATGCTGCATGTTCTCACTTAGAAGTGGAAGCTAAATGATGAGAACACATGAACACATAGAGGGGAATGACATACTGGGGCCTATCAGAGGGTGAAGGATGGAAGGAGGGAGAGGATCAAGAAAAATAACTAATGGGTACTAGGCTTAATACTTGGGTGATAAAATAATCTCTACAACAAATCCCATGATACAAGTTTACCTATGTAGCAAACCTGCCCACATACCCCGAACTTAAAATAAAAGTTAAAAAAAAGAAATCCAAGTCAACAGACAGTAAGCTAGTGAGACACGTCATGGAGAAATGAGAGCTAAAAGGCTACAATGTGGAGTGGGTCAAAGGGTCATGACAGCTATGTGAAAGAAGTTCAGAGGAGGCAAGAGTAAGTCATGGAGAGAACAAGAGTGGACAGAATTTAAGTTTCTTCTGAAGAAGAAATAACATGGACCACAAAAGAGAGACGGCAAAGGTCTTGCCCCAGAACTGTCCCACTGCTTCTTGCAGTTCCAGTTCCAGGGAACTTTCATGTACAGAATACAACAGGCTTCATGTGCATAGTCAGTGAGTTTCTGATTTTCCATCTAAGGGGAGCCTAAGCAGAAGCTGACATTTGAATAATTATCTCACCATTCATTTCTGTGAGGACACATGGTACTCTATTGTAAATTTACATACAAGGCTCTGCATCCTGAGTACACATCCACACGCAGGACATATAACTCTCCTTTAGTTTTCTATGATTTCACATTTCTTCTCTTCACAGAATCTTGACTCTAAGAGGTAAGCTACAGCCTGAACATGTAAGCTTTGAGTGGGCATGGAAGACTTGTGTATTACTAATATTTCCGTCTTACAGATTCTGTGAGGGAAGACAGGCCATGTGTCCAGTTGGAAGAGTATTTGTTTTGTGGCTGTGAAACTCTAGATGGGAATTCTGGCTCCATTGCTAGTCATGCGACTATAGTCTGTTCTCATGCTGCTAAATAAAGACATACCCGAGACTGGGTAATTTATAAAGGAAAGAGGTCTAATTGACTCACAGTTCCACATGGCTGGGGAGGCCCCACAATAGCGTGGAAGACAAACGGGGAGCAAAGTCTCGTCTTACATGGTGGCAGGCAAGAGAGCATGCGCAGGGAAACTCCCCTTTATAAAACCATCAGATCTTATGAGACTTATTCACTATCAGGGAAGCACATGAAAGACCTGCCCCCATGATTCAACTGCCTCCCACCAGGTCCCTCCCACAACATGTGGGGATTATTACAATTCAAGGTTAGATTTGGGTGGGAACACAGAGCCAAGCCACATCCACCACTTTTATCCACCAATCCTTAGTTGATGTCAATTAAAAAATATAGATTTAAAAACTTCACTCTCAAGTAGGTTGTGGAAATACTGTATGTAGCAGCAGTTACTAGCAGCACGTGGTAGACAGCCAATAATCTTTACTTCCATGCATGACTTGCTCATGGTCACACCTGAGCATGAGCAAGAGTCTCTTCTGAAACCCACTCATAACTCAATTGTATCCTTCAGTCCAAGCATTTCTACATGTTCATGAAAATAAATTCAGGTGATATTCAAGCCTGGATACTCTCATCTTCCAGATTCTTTTTGAAGACACTGCTCCATATTCTTCCTTCCTTCTTGATATCTTAAGGTGCCTTCTTTTATCATTTCCTTTCTTCTGAAAAAGCTTCCTTTAGCCATTCTTTCAGTTAAGGATTCCTGGCAATACATGCTGTTAGTTTTTCTTCAGCTGGGAATGTCTTGATTTCTCGTTCATTTCTGAAGGATACAGGATTTTGAGTTGACAGTTCTTGTTTTAGCATTTGAAAAATGTCCCGCTTCCTTCCAGACTCCATGGCTTGTGATGAGAAATCCACTGTCATTAGAATTGTTTGTCACCAATAAGTAAGGTGTCATTTTTTTCTTGCTGCTGTCGAGGTTTTATCTTTTTCCTCAGTTTTCAGAAATTTGACTATGATGGATTTTGGTATGGATTTCTCTGAAGCTGCCCTCTTTGGAAGTTTACCTTAACTTCTTGAATCTGCAGATTTATGTCTTTTGCAAAAATTGGAATATTTTCAGCCATTTTTTTTTCCTCTCCTACTTTTTTCACCTCTCCTCTGGGACTCTAAGGACATAAATGTTACATCTTTTGTTATAGTCCCACAGTTCCCTGAGGGCTGTTTTCATTCTTTTCTTCGGTCTTTTTTTTCTCTGTTTTTCATATTGGTCAATTTCTATTGCTCTGTCTTCTAGTTCCCTGATTCCTGATTCTTTCTTTCTTTTTTTTTGAGACGGAGTCTCGCTCTGTCGCCCAGGCTGGAGTGCAGTGGCCGGATCTCAGCTCACTGCAAGCTCCGCTTCCTGGGTTCACACCATTCTCCTGCCTCAGCCTCCCGAGTAGCTGGGACTATAGGTGCCCATCACCACGCCCGGCTAATTTTTTTTTTTTTTTGTATTTTTTTTTTTTAGTAGAGATGGGGTTTCACCGTGTTAGCCAGGATGGTCTCCATCTCCTGACCTCGTGATCCGCCCGCCTCGGCCTCCCAAAGTGCTGGGATTACAGGTGTAGCCCCCTGATTCTTTCTTATGTTCTCTCATTTTACTATTGAACACATCAATTGAGTTTTGTATTTAAGTGACTGCAGTTTTAAGTCCAAAATTTCCATCTTTATATCTTCTACTACTTTGATGAGACTTTCTGTTGTTTCATTTGTTTCAGTCACACTTGTAGTTGCTTAATGCAATTTTATAATGGAGGCTTTAAGATTTCTGCCAGATAATTATAGTATCTCTGTTATGTTAATGTGGGCATCTATCAATTCTTTTTTAAGATCCAGCTTGAGGTTTTCCTGGGTCTTGGTATGATGAGTAATTTTTAATTGAAATCTTGACAATTTTGGTATAATATTAAGAGACTCTTGATCTTACTTAAACTTTCTGCTTCTGCTAGCCTTCCTTGGTGTCAGTCTGGCAGGGGAAGTGGAGAACGCCACCTCCTTAATACCAGACAGAAGCCCAGGTATCTTACTTGGCTTTCTTGGACACCCGAGGGGCATGGCTTCTGGTTACTGCTAGAAGGAGGTGAGAATTCTGGCTCTCCAGTAAGCCTGCACTGATACACCCCTGGCTGAGAGGTGCAGGCACGCCTTGTTGCTGCTCCCTAGTTGGCCTTCACTGACACCGTAAGAAGGAGGAAAGGAGAGTGGCCTTATTACCACATGGTGATGATGAAGGTCCCCAGTCTCTACTAGACCTCCTCTACTACTACTGCAGAAGGGAGGAGGAGGGACACCTCATTACTCTCAGATGAGGGTAGAAGTCCAGGCTTCTGACATGGGATGGGGGTGACGGCTCATTTTTTCCCCAGTGGGGATGTGAGACTGCTTGGCAAGGGTGGACATCTAAGATCCCTACTTGTCCTTTGCTTGCATGGATAGGTGTAGGGATGGAATATTTATCTGTGGTGTTGGGTGAAGTAGAGGATTTATGTCTAAAAGTTTTCTCTCTTGCTAGGCTGCCCCTTTCCTGGCTCTTTGGTTAGAGAAAGCAGGCTTTTTGTCTATGCCTCTTGTTGTTTCTGGGTTGTTGGGCTTCTTTGGCTCTAAGTGTGAGATATGTGATGAAAAAAATCCCAGGTAACCCACCACTGTGTTGTTTCTTGGGTCTTGAGATCCCTAGCCAATCTGCCTTCTCTCCACCTTTGAGTCTTCTTATATGAGTTTTATATATAAGGGTCTTTAGTTGTATAGTGTGAGAGGCATAGAGAAAAGTAAATCTATTCCATCTTCTTGGAAGCAAAAGTCTGCCTCCGTTAGCTTTCTAATACATAGTATTTCCACCTTAGATTGCAGGTATTTCATAGGACAATGTTAATTCTGATTGTCAAATTGGCAACATGAACTCTTTACACTCAACCCTTTTGCCAGAGAATATGTGATGCTAAACTTTCTGCTTTCCAATTACCATCAATGCTAAGTAGTGAGAAGTCATTATTAATGGAGTATTACCAGAGAGTTCACAGTCTAGTCATATAAAAAGTTTTGTCCGTAGGTCAATTCAGACTACAAAACCTGAATGAGAAATTCTTATGCTAAAATGTGCTGATAGTACTAAGCCCATGTTGAGCAACATTATTTTTAAAAAGAATATGAATAATTTTTAAAGTCTAATTTTCATTATTTTAGGGGTGTTATTAAGAGTACAATTCACTACATCTCACAGCATCCCTTTAAGAGGACAAGGGAAGAAATTCCCTCAGCTTTGTACTATAAGAAGCTGAACAACCAATTTATTTTATATTTTAAAAGTTATAAAGCCAATAATTTCCTTCTTTGGCAATGGTTCCTGGATCCTTCAGGAACCTTAGGATCAAATTTGGTAATGACATAGATTTTCATACCCTTGATTTCATTTTGTTTTTCAATTGAGATTTTACTTTTACCCAGATTTCCTCATGTGTTGTTTTTCCAGTAGGACAGTATGCATTTGGGTACCTGATCTCATTTATTTCAGAAACACATGGGTGAATAAATACATTAGAAAAACACAGTGGGTTCATAAGCCCTCAAAGGACAGGAAACAAACCTCAGATCTCTCCTTAACTCATCAGAGAAACTTAATACATGCTGCCATTTTGATCCCAAATGTCCTCCTTTTCAAGAGGCCCAAAAAAGAATCTATTTTTTTTTTTTGTCACATAACTTACATTGTATTTGTGAGATGGAGACTTTTAAAAGGGACAGACACACACAGTGATCACCTGGAGGACTGAAGCACCACTATGGAGAAACTGAAGACCACTTTCAGCAGAGTCAATTCCACCAGTAGCCAAAATGGGAAATCCAGGCAGAGCACGAGCAATGGAGGTCACAGCTCTCAAAGCAATAGGTCTGATTGCTGTCCCTACACAAAGTCAGAATAATCAATGGTTAGCACACTGACCACTTGAGTATACTGTCTTATATTACTTCTATTACTATCATGTGATGACGGTGTCATAACCGGACAAATTTCAAATTACTTTATCTCTGTTTAAGATGTGTACATATGTAGTATATAAATGCTATGTTTTAAGGCATGTTAATTTGTCAATGGATTTTTTTTTTAATTTTAAGGACTTTGATACTAATATTGAATTTAGATATGTTATACAAGTAGGTGTAGCAAACACAGAATTCTCTATGCACGCATATTATATGCATATTACATTTTGATATACAGTAATGTGTAAAAGACTGCATAGAACATTTGAGCATCGGTGGCTCACGCCTGTAATCCCAGCACTCTGGGAGGCCAAGGTGGGTGGATCACCTGAGGTCAGGAGTTTGAGACCAGCCTGGCCAACATGGTGAAATCCCATCGCTACTAAAAATACAAAAACAAAAATTAGCCAGGCGTGGTGGCAGGCGCCTGTAATCCCAGCTAGTTGGGAGGCTGAGGCAGGAGAACTGCTTGAATCCAGGAGGCAGAGGTTGCAGTGAGCCGAGATCACACCACTGCACTCCAGCCTGGGTGACAGAGTGAGATTCTGTCTCAAAAACAAACAAACAAAAAACAACAAGGAACAGCAGATTTTGAAAAGAAAAACAATCACATATAGTGCATCAATAGACATACAGCTATGTTATGTTTCTGCAGAGTACTAAGCAGCTGTTGTGAACATAGACTCTGTTAAAAAAGGCAAGGTGCCGATGAACTTACAGATTCCATGCTGCTTTTTATATGTACTTCCCACAATTTGAAAAAAAAATTGAGAGTCTAATTCAATTTTTCACATATTAGAAAGTTTTAATCAAGTTAAAGAGAATTTACTAGAATCCAGTAGAGTGTTTGCATTTAGTATTTAAATATTTAATTAGCCAGACATTACCAGTATATTATTCCCTAATAGTAATAAAAATTGTATCGATGGAAAGAATACTTTGGGGCTATTTTTTAAATGAATATATTGTACTAAAGCTACTTTGAATTATCAAATGTTAAACATCCCAGAGTACATTCATGCTTTCATAATAAATGAATATAATTTGATATTCCTGGCATTCCCTTATAAGTCAGGGGTCCTTTAAGCATTTTCTGAACTAAAGACAGTTCAATTTATGCAAGAATATGACATTGCCTTAAACCAGGGCTCCACAAACACCATAACCAAACAACTGGTTCAGCCTCATGTGGTGAGTTCTTTGTCATCACCTCCGCCACCACTAGTCACCAGCAATATCAATATGTATTTACTGGAGTGCTTACTCTGAGGTAGCACACACAGCTTTCCTTTAAAAACTGACCAGAACTTAAAATTAAATTAAATTAAATTTAAAAAATAAAATAAAATAATTAAATAAGAAAAGAAACAAAAAGTTAAAAAAACAAGCTTTCAATCTGAAAGGGCTAGATACCATATGATTCCAACGATATGACATTCTGGAAAAGAAAAACTGTGGAGACAGTGAAAATATCAGTGGTTGTAAGGAGTGAACGGGAGGGATAAATAGGCAGAGCAAAGAGGATTTTTAGGACAGTGAAAATCTGTATATACTATAATGGTAGATGCATGTTGTTATACATTTACACACAAAAAAAACCCACTTAGAGAATGTATCTGTTACACTCGTAGAATGCACAAAACCAAATGTGAAACCTATTGTAAAGTTTGGACTTTGGGTGGTTAGGCTGTATGTGTCAATGCAAGTTCATCGATTATAACAAATGTATCACTCTAGTGGGGAATGTTGATAATGAAGGAGGTCATGCATGTGTTGGAGTGGTGTATATACTGAATATCTGTGTACCTTATTCTCAATTTTGCTGTGAACCTAAACTGCTCTAAAAAATAAAGTCTAAAAAAGAGCCTGGGAGTGGTGGCTCACACCTGTAATCCTAGCACTCTGGGAGGCCGAGGCAGATGGATCACCTGAGATCAGGAGTTTGAGACCAGCCTGGCCAAGATGGTGAAGCCCCATCTCTACTAAAAAATACAAAAATTATCTGGACGTGGTGGCACGCACCTGTAATCCTAGCTACCTGGGAGGCTGAGGCAGGAGAATCGCTGGAACCCGGGAGGCAAAGGCTGCAGTGAGCTGAGATCGCGCCACTGCACTCCAGCCTGGGCAACAAGAGCAAGATTCCATCTCAAAAAAATAAAAATAAAATAAAATGAAAGAAAAGAAAAGAAAAGAAAATATAGGTGGCTTTCTTTTTATCCTGTTCATATCTGTTTCAGATAAAATCGAACCTTTTCATGACTAATGCTTTTGTACTCAACACAAAAATGTTTGTGGAAATGTCTACTTGTGGCTCCCACACCTAAAACATCTTCCTCTACATATTACTATAGTATTTCTTAGTTAGGCATATTGAGTACTGACACTTCAAAATTCATAACAGACATTTTGAATACAAAGTGTTAAGTTGCGCAAATTAGAAAATGGACATTAAGATTCTAATTCTATATTATCTATCAGTGATTCCTCACAGTTTTTATGTTTTAACCATAAAAAGGCTAATAGTGGACAGAATTTATAGTGAGAATACAAAAACACACATATGTATATACACATCTTTAGTTATACTAGAAAATCTACATAACAATAAAAGTTAAAGGAAGGCATTTTTAAAGAAATCTATAACAAACTTTTTGATAGACACACAGCTATCTCCGCACAATATAACTGACACAGTCAATACATATTAACCCAATGGCTTCTTTACATACACACTACTTTGAAGTAATAAAGAAATATTGTTTTTTTTTTCTCCCTTATTTAGTTGACCCAAGAGAGTAAATTTGAGCTAAGTAGATAAATAATTTATTTCTATCTCCACTGTTAGAAGACTATCATTAACAGTAAGGGGTAAAATTTCAAGGTGGTATACAGGGATTTGGCCACATATTCCAATTGATATTAATGGACATAAAATGGCAACACAGCTTTGAAAAATCAACCAGTGACACTTAAAGGGCAACATTACTACACAGGTGTTAAACAAATCAGCAAATTCTTATTGGCATTTGAAGATGTTCAATTAGGTCAATAAGACATTTTCTAATTTATGTTTTTATTCCTTTCTAAGAATTTTTATAATGTACCTAATGAACAGAAAAACAATTAAAAAATAAAAGTATTTTTTTAAAATTTAAGAGTAACTGTGTTCTCTGAGAAAATGAGATCCAAAAAATGAAGAAATGATCTCTCTGTTGCTGGACAGTTTTTATTTCCATTATAAACCCAATTTGATTTTTTTATAGCTCAACTGATTTAATATGAAATATAATCTACCTGTTCTCAGCATTTTTATGGGGAATAGGTTTTAAGAATGACTTCACCCACTAAGAATGGTTTCTAGAAGGAAACTAGATCTTTCTAAATTGTTATACAGAATTCATTTTTAGTTTTAAAATGACAAATGAAATAATAATAGGTTCAAGATAAAAATAAAACTTTTGGTTTAAAAGAAAATACATATATCAATGCCATACAAAATTGTACATATGCCAATTAAAATCATAAAGACTTCTTGAATTACATTTATTGAGATAAAGGTCTTTTAAAATTCTGTCACTGCTACAGCGATTAATGATTTTAGACCAAAGACTAGGGAGGAAGAAGCCAGTGTGAGAAGTTCAAGGAATGTGTATACGGGCTCTATCCTTAAGGAAACAACAAGGTTTAAATCAAGAAATTGAAATCCTATACACTTAAATGAACTAATAGGTAACATGCAATTTAAATTAAGCCCTCATCTACATGGGGTGGCCAGTTGAACCTAATGGGGAATTCAGTTACATCAAGTCATTCTGCTTCAACTGTGTGGAATCGTCCAATAAAAATCAAGCCACTGAGTTCCTATGTTTTGAAACAAGCTGCAGGTTCGAACAAACAAACAAAAAATAAACTGGACTTATGAGTTGCAACATTGCTACCAAGAACTTTGATTTGCATTATGTGGCTCTCCTGGTGGACTAGACTGAAATGTAACTTTGGGTCTCTAATCAATCTAGGCCCTCCATGTAGTCACAATTTAAAATACAAATCAGTGTGTTGAATTCATAGATCGTCTTAGATAAACTATACAGAACATTTTTGGATTGATTCATGTTTTAGAAAAACATTTTAGTAATCCAGAGATTTTGAATTGTTAATCAATCTGATTTTGGTGAAAAGTATTTTTCTTAAGAAAATGAACTCTCGTTTGTCAGATATCATTTTAAATACAATTTCAGAAACACTATCATTGGCTATAGTATTACATATTGATATGTGTGTATTAATGTATTATGACAATCAGGTTCTTTACTCAATCTTCATTTATCCATTCATCTGTCTATCCACAAAATATTTTTTAAGCACCTATGGCTTTTTTTTCCTGGTTCATCAGTTTGTGTCCTAACTATATATGTACGCTTGACTCACAAAACACCAGGTCTTACTGTTGTAGTAGGTTATTTCAAGGTAATAATTTGAATCCAGTTACTCATTCTCTACCAGTATTCCATTAGAAACAATTCACATTTGTTAGAGCATTATACATTTTATAAATACTATTAATACGAATTCTATCAAGAAGGCAATTTGAGGATGAACTAGCTACCAACATCAGACAGACAACTGGGTCAACTGCTGAGGTTCAAATCTTAAGTTCCATTTATAAGCTGTGTGACTTTGTGAAACATTTTAAATCTTACTGAATCTCAATTTTGTCATCTATAAAATAATAAAAAATATAATAACATCTTCATAGAACTGTTTTGAAGAATAAATTACATAATCTATAAAAGGCCATTTATTATTATTATTATAAATTATTAAAAGGCCATTTTTATTATTTTTCATAATAAAAATTGTAGAAGTGTTTGCTGTTATAATTTGTACTACCCTCAAGGACAATTGCTTTCAGAGGCAGCA